ATGTATCTGTTGAATACATTTTTATATCAGATGCTTTAACTTGAATTTTTGGCCTTGCTGTTTACTTCTGCTTGACCGAGCCCATATGCATGTATATATAACATATATACTATAATATGTGTATATGGGTATGTGTGTTTATGTAGATGCTGTATATATATGTGTTATATATGTATATGTGTGTATTCTGTAAATGTATTTATTTGTATGTATGTGTGTACATATGTTTTCATCAATTGGGAGTTTAAGGGTGGGGGGGTTGGGGGTTTAAAAGGGAGAAAAATGCAATTCTAACTGGATTATGTATAACTGCAAATAATAAGACGTGAATAAAAATTTGATCACAAAAAGCTATTTTTTGTTATAATTGCCAGGTTGGCTCAGCCCTTGGGCCTTTGTATTTTGTTTGATTATACTTATCCCATTAGAGGAATTGTTTAGTTAAATTTGGAAATTTTGTTTTAAAGAGTGTAAAACATCTTTTTGTTATTGGAATTACTTACTTACTTTAACTTACTTCACATCACATCTTGTTTGTGTTACTTTCCTTTGTCCCTAGCAATGGTTTGTAACACTTACATAATCTTGTCTTTTAATATGCATTGTCCCTTTAATAAATAAATACAAATTCAAACAATAACTTCTTGGGTTCTTTTTAAAGACAATGCAGTAAAGTGTGTTTACCTTGTTGACATGTTTTGGCTGCTAGCTGGGAGCCATCTTCAGAACTGTCACTGGTGTTGGTGGTGATGTGTCGTATATCAGCTGTTGTTACTTCCTGTAGGTTTACAAATACAAACAAATCTGATTGCGGATCGAGGTGTTCAGTCTCAGTTGGTGTGGCTTGGCTCCAAGTTTGAACGACCGGATTGTATTAAAGGCCAAACTAAAATCGACACAGTGGAGCCTCGCAAAGATGTTCTGGTGCTCGAGATGTTCCAGTAGTGAGTGGAGCACAATGGCAATGGCATCTTCTGTGGAGCGGTTCTGTCTGTAAGCAAATTGGTATTGGTAATCTTAATTGATGTTGGTGGTATTGTGCTTTTCATGTGTTTGATGACCAGTCTCTGAAGACACACTGTGGGACATTTCAAGCAGAGCAATGACATCTCCCATAAAAACAAGCAGGTGACAGACCTTCCACAAGACAAGTTACTCAATGCACCTTTTAAGTAACAAAATTGAGAACATGAACTGGAGCCGTGTGATGAATGGACTGTCAGCGTGTGAGCTCACGGGTCGCAAATGTAAGTATGAGTGGGAGTGGGTTATGAAACAGTCTGAAATGAATGTCTGGGAGCTCGTTTGTTTATCTGCGCTCTGAAGCTGATGTGTGTGAGTATATAAGTGTTTAGAAGTGTGATCTATGGAGATGACTTTCTGACCCCAAGGCCCAATGTTACATCAAAGCCCATATGAAGCTTTTCAGTTCAGTTTGTATCAGTTTTACATCAGATAAGTGCAAGTGGGAGTGGACAAAAGCTGAGAAGAAAGATACAAAAATACAGGAAGTAGCAGTGAGTTTTAAATCAGAATCCCTCTGCTGATGTACTGTGATAGTTTAAACCTTCATTTCATTTCACAAAATAAAGGTGGTGTCATTAATTTAATCATAACTATTGCCCGTTGTGTAATTTAGACAAGCTTGTACACAGTATTACAGAGCAGTATTAGGTAAGGTCAAATATTTTCTGGATGCAAAAGCTCTACATACACTTTATTGTTCTTTAGTTGCACCATATTTGATACACTGGGCTGAAATCTGGGGTAATAATTATAAAACAATATCGGGACTATTGTACATATTACAGAAAAAAGCATTAAGAATAATTCATAACGTTGGGTTTTATGAACACAACAAGCAGCTGTTTATCGCTTCGAATATGTTCAAACTTAAGGATCTGATAAACGTCCAGACCGCAAAAATAATGTGCAAGGCAAAAAGGAAAGAACTGTCAAAAATACTGTCAGAAACATTTTATGAAAATAGAAAGAATTTATAATTTAAGGGGAATGCATCTCTTTAAAATGGCCAGAGTCAGTAAAAGAAAGAAAAGTTGTAGTATTTCAGTTTTATGGGGGCAAAATTTTGAACTCTATGAATGATGAGCTCAAATGTTTAAACAAAGATATAAAGAAATGATTATAGCTAAGTATGCAGAAGAAGGAATTTAAGTTTATTTGTCATCTAAATGTAAACTATAACACATTTATTTTGTATCTGGAGTAATGTGATGCACTATAAGAGTCTAGCAGAAGCACATTATTGCTTTAATGGTTTTGTGAAATATTTTGGTTTTGTAATTGCCTTTTTGTATGTGTTGATTACTGCAGAATAATGCAATTTATCTTTTATGATTTATGAAAATATCTGAATAAACGTATTATTATTATTATGGTTGCTAGGTAACAGTTATGGGATTACCTCTGCATATGTCACATCTGCTGCCTGTGTCCAACCACGAAGTACAAGTGTAAACTTCACCAAACATAAATAGTAGAAAAAAAAATAGTAGAAAATGTTTAGTCAAATTTTATATATAATGATGTGCAAAAATATCAAAATCTCAATATATCGTGATATTAAAATTGTTAATACAGTATCACTCTGGTGGACTAATGTATCGAGAAGAGCGATTGTTTATGTGACTGGACTATTATGTTGCTTATTTAGTGGAAGGAAACTTCACCTGTTTTGAAGATTAAAGTAAATATATTTTGATATGAATTTTGCACAGATAGTGGTTTAACAAAGAAATACTGTTGTTATGTATTTGGTTCTTTAAAAAAATATACATATTGATTATCGCACATATCGCCATATCGTGATAAAAAGGAGCCATGTATCGAGTATCGTAACGAATCCCTATCCGAATCCCTGATCCCAGCCCTATGGTTAAGTATGTTTTAGTGACATGAGTGAGTCCAATGAACTTTAAGGTTTATGAATGTGTGAGAAAAAACAACAATCATATGTGTATAGATTCGTCTAGAGTGTGAGCTGTTTATCACATCACATTGTGTGCCTTCGGTTATGGCGTATATGAAATGACTCCATTTGTAAAAATTGTCTCAATTTAGCAATCAATAATCAATTTCTTTCTTATGCTCAAATTGTGATCTGAATAATCACCGTTCTTGTGATTATCCAATCTTGGCATCTGTACTCACACAAATATAACTTATATTGTTCATTAGCTATAGAAAAATGGTGGTGTGATTCCAGCTCCCATGCATGAATACTGTTGTTGTGTCTTTGGGCAAAACACTTAACAGTTTCTGTGTACACTGGTGTGTGTGTGTGAAGGTGTGAGTGGTTCTTTGATGTAAAGGACTTTCAGTCTTGAAGGTGGAAAAGCGCTGTATAAAACCTGACCATTTCCACAAATAAAACAAGAAACATTTCCTCCAAAATAAAGTGTTGTTTTAATACACAAAGGAACATGAAGTACATACAGTATGACATCATTAAGTGCAGTTAAGGTACTGTCACAGATAGTCAATGGGTTCACAGATTTAACAGTATAAACAGTATGGTAGCGTTCAAATAAAAAGAACGAAAAAAAAAAAGTTCCCTGGAAAAGCAGATATAAAATGTATTTTTGAAAAGTGACAGATCCAGTACTTCACTATTCTGAGGCGAGACAGAACAAAACAGGGGCCTCATGATGATGTTTGCCGTGAAAGTGCCTCTGACACGTTAGACACATTTAAGATTTTACCTTTTTTTTTTTTTTATTATTGTTTCCCAGTTTGTCAGTATTTTAGGTTTCAGATCTGACAAAATATAAGACACATTTATTTTGAAATCACATTTAAAATTTCAGGAAAATGGTGGCCTTTGTGTAAATTGTGCATAACTTTTAGACATAATTCTCCAAGTTTGATGTCATCATTATGGAACCCTCTAAAATAGAATCCTACTTCCTGTCATTTTCAATATATTTTTCATCTTTTGATCACAAATTGCTTCTTAATTGGTGTAAAATCATCAAATTAAGTCAAAATAAGAGAATCAAAACCTGTCATACGCACTTTATCTCCATCTTGCATCGTTTCGTGGCCAACAAAATCAAATGTTTACAAAGTGGGCACGCTAAAGTAACACTAGACTAGAAGGTTCAGGCCATTTTGTGTTCCATCTATGAGCTCATTAGAAACGCTGAGGCAAAAGAAAAACACTATCACAATCACAACACCATCAGCATGCCTCCTGCTCAACAATCTACTGCACATGGCATCGGGTGTGAAACCACAAAAGCTCAAAAAAACAAACTGTGCCTAAACCCCTGTTTAAACCTTCTACAGTGTGACGGTGGTGACAGCCAGTGGTCAGAGAAACGTACTGGCGCAAGAGCAAACCTGTCTGCCTCTATTTCCTGTTTGTTTTGCTGTGGTTTGGTGATTGAGAAAGGAAACGGACCAAACTTCCTCCTTTTAAACACAGACGAATAATAAAACCAACAAAGTGTCACAAACTTTACAGAAGAAATGCAGTTTTAATGCTCTGCAGAAGCTGCTTCACATACACACTCCACAAAGCGCGCATTTATTATCTGTAGATTTAAAGGTGTACTGTGTCACTTTTCTGCTGGGACACCTGCCACATGCTTGTCTCCATGGAGGTGTTATTACTTCGCCTGAGATGTTCCTCAGTACTGCATTAAAAAGATCTATATTGCATGTATTAATTTACAGATACAGATTACACCTTGAAAAACAAGCATATTTACTGTGAGGGGGCTTGCCTCTCCACAGATCTGACATGTAAAGTGGCCCGGCCATGTCACCTGCTTGTCTCTGAAAAAATCAGTAAGTTTAATGTAATAATGTGAAACTTTCCAGACAGGAGTATAGCTCCAGGTTATGGGTCCCGTGTACAAATGCTCTTGTCTAATTAAAAATACACATGACCAGAGCCCGTCCTGCACTGGAGCCCGGGGAAACAGCAGAGGTGCGACCAAGTCATTGTTTTGCAAGAAAGTATTTTTTTTTTTAATTATTATATTATTATTTTATTTTATTATTATTATTTATATAGCGCTTTTCACAGACATTTAATCACAAAGACGCTTTACAGATCATTATTCATTCACTCCACACCTGGTGATGGTAAACTACTATTGTAGCCACAGCTGTCCTGGGGCAGACTGACCGAAGCGGGGCTGTCATGCCAATCTGCGCTATCAGCCCCTCTGACCACCACCATCACTCACACACACACCACTTTCATACTAGGCAATGTGGGTGAAGTGTCTTGCCTAAGGACACAACAGTTTTTTGTGACTGGTGCCTCCTGTGGCTCCTAATTTTCCCAGTGTCTCCATCCAAGTACTGACCAGACCCAGTCCTGCTGAGCCTCTGAGATCTGACGGGATCAGGCAAGTCTCAAGTAATGTCTCAAGTCTTTGACCTCAAATCCAAGTCAAGTCCCAAGTCAAATACAGGCAAGTCCAAGTCGAGTCTTGAGTCGCTGGTCCATAAGTCCAAGTCCAAGTCGTCTGCTTTGAGCTTCAAGTAGTGATGCACCGATACCACTTTTTTGAAAAGTGATACAAGTATAATCATTTCTGTACTTGTACTGAGTACTGATACTGATACTTTAACCTCCACCCCCATGAACATACACTGAGTGTGTTTCAGTGTCAGTATGCCTGTTCTATCAGTATTCAGGATGTGCTGTTTACATGTGCGCTGAGAAACAGGACACTCATATCTCTGTGTACATGATCACATGGAGTATCCTGGTTTATTGACATAATCTTATGAATGCGCAAGTGCAAAAATTATATAATTAATAAGGCAGGAAAAATACAAACAACCTGAGATTATAATGTGATTAATGCAGCTTTACCACATTTGTTTATGTTTTACAGAAACAAAACTTAAAACCACATGGCTCATTTACATAAACTATAAGTGCTGATAAAAACGTCTCTCTCCTTGTGCTGCTGATGTAGTTCAGCTTCTGTCGACTAAAGGACACGACTCAGTGGAATATGAGTGTTCTCTCTGTGACAGAGGATGTGCTGCTGATGCTGAGTCTGTTCTGTGTGTATCTATTGGGATGGGAGATGGTTCATGTTAAACTTTTCAGACATCATACACATGCAGGTCATACGTGTGTAAGTCGTACCTGTGCAGCGCAGCTCTTTATTTAATTTCACTCATGTACAGTGACTTTATTTATCCTGGTTTCTCATAACAGTGATACTGCATTAATGTGTCGTGTAATAGTGGTATCAGTGTGTGGTATCGACAAATGTTTAACAAGTACATTAAGTAAGTATCAAGCTTGATATCCAATACCAGTATCAGTATCAGTGCATCCCTAGGTTCAAGTCATTTCTAGTCTTTAAACCAAAACCAAATATATCTTAGATTTTTGCAATTTATATTAATTCAATTGTACTTAAAAAGTCATGGTATATTTATATATGAGTATTTGAAAATGCATTTTTTGCCTTCTCAAATGTCTTGACAAGATCTTAATGTATGTCATTACGGTAAGAACAGAATGTCTTGCATTCTGCACTGACATTTAAGGATCATGTTCTCTGTAGTTCCCTCAGTTTTTCTGTATTGTACTGTATATGACTGTATTGTACTGTATTGTACTGTATTGTACTGTATATGACTGTATTGTACTGTATTGCACTGTATTGTACTGTACTGTACTGTATTGTACTGTATTGTACTGTAGTACATTTGATGATACAATCTCACAGTATTTCAGTTCCATCCAAAGTAACAAACAGAACTAGGAGGGACATGTTCCAATTTATTCCTGTAAAATTAAGCACCACATGTATGTAAAGAGAAATGTATTTTTTAAAAACATATATATTTTTAGGAGAAGCATCAGGTCTTCTCAAGTCACAGGCCTTAAGTCCGAGTCAAGTTCCAAGTCATTGACCCTCAAGTCCAAGTCGAGTCTCAGGTCTGACTGGAGAATACATGTTTTCAAGGTCGTTTTAAGTAATAAAACCTCTTCTAATTAAATAGATGCAAGCTAGATCAGTTTAATGCTATACAGTGGAACATTCATGGAGACAGACTGAAGCAGATGGCGTCCCCTCTACCAGTAAAGTTACATAATGTCCCTTAAACACAGGTGTGTGTAAAGAAAAGCTGCTGTGACTCTAGTTTATACTGTATGTGTCTATATCAGAGTATTTGAGCAAAGGCCACAGACAGGATGTGAATGAGGCTTACACGACACTGAGCTCACACAAACCAAAGGTTTAGTTTAGTTCAGAAACACAATACAAAGTTCACTGTTCTTCATGTGCTACTCTCTATTCAAGTTCAGCAGGTTAGTGTTCAGTCCACACTCAGTCCCACTTCCTCCAGTGGAAATATACTAAGCCCTTTTTCCCAGTAGAAAATCATGATCCGAAACATTGATTTCTGCAGGATTTGAATCCACACATCTGTGTTTCATTGTCCTCAAAACTCACATGGTCTTTACAATTCTACATTTACTTTTTCATCTTTACAAAGTTAAAATGAGACATTCTCACTAACACAGGGTGAGTACAGGGATAAAACAGGTCTACAAGAGGTCTAAAAACCAGGTCTGAAGCCAAGTCTAAACCAGGCCTAAACTAGGTTTAAACCAGGTCTAAACCAGGTCTGAACCAAGTCTACACCAGCACTTAAAAGGTGCACTATATATCTTTTCTGGAGAAAGAGTCCGTGACCTTGTGTCCCTGCATGTTTGTTAAGGTCTTTTTGAGCACTTAACAAAACTTGAAACATTATAAAACCAAGATAGAAACGTGTATAGCATAAGATTAAGACTGCCGCCATGGAGATCAACAATTTACAGCAAAATATTACATCTTTTGAATGGGAAAAAATCCTCATGAAGTTGCATATAACCAATGAATCACATCTCCATGGAGACGAGCAGGTGGCGGACCCTAAACCAGAAACGTTACAGATTTAAAACAGGAATAACTCGAGACTTTTTAAATTAGGACTTCTAGGTCTTAGAAAACTGGTTCAATCCTTCATACTTAAGCTGCAAAACATTCCTGGTATCAATAGTTTTTACATTTTCATTTGCATTTACATTTGGAACTTTCCCAATCCTCCTTTTGTAAACATTAGCAATAGCCGTTAGCTTCAACAGTTCATGGCTAGTGTTGCTAATATTCATCACCAGGGCTCCACATTAGCATTAGCCGTTAGCATAAACAGTCCGCGGCTAACGTTGCTAGCTGTCATCACACGTCATCGTCGTCCTCATTCTGCCTTAGCCTGGTGTCTCGGCTATGGCTCCTCTGGCTCCCCCTCTGCGGCAGCTTCCCCACCGGGTCGTGGCACAGGACGTACTGCTGCCAGATCTTCTTAAACGCCGTCCTGAACTTGTTGATGCGGAAGGCGTAGATGACGGGGTTGACGGCGGAGTTAGCGTGACTCAGCAGGATGGCGACGTACACGAGGGCGGCGGGTTTGTTGCAGGACGGGCAGAAGACCGTGATGCAGTTGAGGATGTGGAGCGGCAGCCAGCTCACGGCGAACAGAAACAAAACCAGAGCCAGAGATTTGGCCAGTTTGAGTTCTTTACCGAAGTATCGCCGCGGGTCGGAGTAACTCGACATCACCTGAAAGAGGAGAGGAAAAGACATTGTTAAATATGACATACCATCATTTCCCAGATATTTGGTTTAAGAATAGAACTATAATCAAATCTGAAGGTGAACACAAGATGGCGTTGTGTTGTTTTTAATGTTCTGCGCTCACTGGTGCATAGGTTAAAAAAATCACTTTATCTTCTGCATTTACTTCCTCAGACCTTTTTCACAATGGCCAAAAGTGCCCCACTGTAGGTTTGTGGGACTTTCCAAAATGTGTGTGTAAATGTGTGTGTAAAGTGTGTGTGTAAGTGTGTGTGTAAATGTATAAATGTGTGTGTAAACTTGTGTGTGTGTGTGTATAAATGTTTGTGTAACGTGTGTGTGTGTAAGTGTGTGTATAAATGTGTGTGTAAGTCTGTGTGTAAATGTGTTAAGTGTGTGTGTAAATGTATAAATGTGTGTATAAATGTGTGTGTAAATGTATAAATGTGTGTGTAAATGTGTGTGTGTATAAATGTGTGCATAAATGTATAAATGTGTGTGTAAATGTGTGTGTAAATGTATAAAATAAATGTGTGTGTATAAATGTATAAATGTGTGTGTAAATGTATAAATGTGTGTGTAAATGTGTGCGTAAATGTAAATGTGTAAATGTATAAATGTGTGCGTAAATGTATAAATGTGTGCGTAAATGTATAAATGTGTGTGTAAATGTGTGCGTAAATGTATAAATGTGTGTGTAAATGTATAAATGTGTGCGTAAATGTATAAATGTGTGCGTAAATGTGTGTGTAAATGTGTATCGTATTCTCCAGCAGCTTCATAAATTTGCTCCATCACCAAATCTTCAACCAACAAACTCCACAAAGAATAAACATTCTAACATGAACAATTTATCCACAACTATCAAGAGAAGAAAGTCCAAAACTTAAAGGAAACAACGAGCCACATTAGTGACACACTGACCAAAACTTTATGGTCATGAATAAAACAGAAGTAATGCATCTGGTTGAAAATGCTCAAGACGTTCCCACAGATATCTGGCCATAGAAAACTATTAACCAGAAGTGACATTTAACCTACATCTCGACACTTCCCCCCCGTTGTGAAAACGGTCTGTACAGGAGAGTTCCTAACACCCGTGTAACCTCTGTAACATGCACAGCGTGGAGCGTTTGGACCATGGACCTGTTAAAACAACTGGCTGTCACGAGTTGGCGTAGTGGCCACTCTCTGGTACTACAACGAAAAAATACCCCCAGTCCTGAAACTGCTCTTGTTCAGTTGACAGGGACTTACAACTTTTAAAAAATGTCAGATTTTATGTCGATTTTACCTATTTTTAGATTACAAACTTTTTCTCTGCTCAAAATCCTTCAGTTGTTTTAAAAAACATTTTTCACTCTGTCTCCTCTTGCTCTGATTGGTCAAAGTGATCATGTGATATGAGACCGTGCTCCTTGTGCACGCTCACGTGCAGTAGTGTGTGCCCGCGGGATAAAGAACACCACTGCACATGCTCAACAGGCAGAGAGCCACAGGATGTACGTCGCTGGGCTAAAGGCTAAACTGAAGTCATGTGCCAGTGAGCTTGGCCCACTGATCTGAGTGTTTAGATCCCGGGGCTTGATTTGGACCAATCAGAGTGACAGTAGAGTGGGGCTATACTAAGTCTTACAAAGATCACTTTTAGGCACTTTGAAGATTTAAAAATGTTAAAAAGTTTATGTTGTGAAAATAGAAAAGAATTTCTACAAAATCCAACCTTTGTGAAAGCTGGATGCCCTGTCAGAACACGGGCAGTTTGAATTCCCAGAATGCATTGCGCCCTGTGGGAAAATTATTTATGGCCCAAGCTCCCGGGAGCTGCAGTACCTGAAGCGACCACTAGTCTGTCTAGAGCTGGGACAGAGGCGCACGAACTTATTTAATACAGTGCAATATTTAAATACAGGGCAATATTTAAATATGGTGCAATATTAAATATGGTGCAATATTTAAATATGGTGCAATATTTAATACGGTGCAATATTTAAATTCAGTACAATATTTAATTGGGTGCAATATTTAAATGCAGTGCAATATTTAAGTACAGTGCAGTATTTACTACGGTGCAATATTTAATACAGTGCAATATATAAATACAGTGCAATATTTAAGACGGTGCAATATTTATATGCAGTGCAATATTTAATAGGGTGCAATATTAATCTCATTGTGCATGTGTATACTGTGGATTGTACATATGTATAGTGACAATAAAAGGCATTCTGTTCTACCTGTGTCTAAGTAGAAAGTGTTTTATTGTCTGAGGAATCAGGAAGTACATTGTTAGCATGCTAGTCATTGTTTACAGCCACAGCAAAAGTCTGATCTGTTTGTGGAAAGCACTTATAAACTCACAGGATGCTCAGAATGCATAAGGTAAGTGAGGAATAACTATTCTGTTTTTCACGTTTTTAAGATGGGAAAAATCAGATACAGTTCCTTTAAACTATTACACTCATGAATAGATCTTTTTTTTTACATTTTGTAAACTGCAAAACTGATCTAAAACAGCTCAGTGATAGAAATGGGAGCTTTTACTTCCGTTAAAAATGCAGAACAGATAAGCCCCACCTCTTGATGGTTACATTTCATCAGAGCGGATTGTGGTTTTTCATTATTTGCTGGGTTTATGTGTTGAAAAACAACTTAAGTATGACCCAGAGTAAAAAGAAAAAAAAAAAAAAAAAAAAAAAGGTCTAAACTCAAGTTACAACAGAGAACTAAATGTTTTAAACATCTCAAGCCTCAGATGCAGGACAATACAGGATTACTCTATATGAATTATTTTTATTCTGAATTTTAGTTGCTGAAATTTAAGTATACTTTTTCAATATGTTTCAAATTCCAAATAATAACCTCACCTTTTAAATATTCAGCAGAAATATTTTCAAGTCCTTAAATTCAACAGTCAAAATTCAGAGAGTAAAATTCACAGTGTAAAATTTCACAGTAAAGATCCTAGATGCCAAGGCTGAAGCAGTCGATCCTGTGTGAGCGACGAGGGCAGAGACTGTTTCCTGTTGGCTGTTCTCATCTGTGGACGGGGTTTACACTTAACAAATAAAAGAGGTGAGATTCTGATTAAATGAATTTCATCAGAATCAGAATTGAATGCTTCACTACACCATTTCCTGCTTGTTACTAAGGCCCCGTCCACACTAGTACATATTTGAGTGGTTTTAGTTGTGGATGCAGCGTTCGTTCACTCTAATCCGATTGAAAACAGCTCCAGAGACGGAACGATGTGGTGCCTCCAGCTCCCACGAATTCATTTGAGTATGGATCTGATCCAGCACCGTGTGGACGCCTGAAAACACTGATACTCTGATGTAGGTCTGTGCACCACGAAGTAATTCACCGCCAAAACACTAAGGCTAGAATATATGTCCATTCATATAAACGTGTGTCTGTGCGTACGACCTGCAGACTTATAATTTCTGAAAAGTTTAACATGAACCATCTCCAACACAACAGAAACACAGAACAGACTCACCATCAGCAGAACACCCCTCTGTCACAGAAAGAACACTCATATTCCATTGAGTTGTGTCCTTTATTCCGACAGAAGCTGAACTGCATCAGCGCACAATATCGAGCTGTTTTTTGAGTGTTTAGTTTCTGTAAATTAGCCATGGAATTTTAAGCTGTGTGGATAGGGAAGGCTTGCGGACACAAAAACATCATGTCTGTACGAAGATTTCCTTTCCTGCAATTTTTTTTTTCACTGCAAATTTTCTACTCTGATTTTTGGCTGTCGAGGGCTTGAAAATACAGGGGGTCCCAAAAAATTTGACATCATTTCACAGGCTAATAATTCTGGCAAACTTCAAAGTTTCACAGAATGTATAGAAACAGATCAAGATTTTATATTTAATGTTTTATTTTTGTTCTGTTTTCAGTTTTCACTCACCCAAGACTGTGCAGCCTTCAGTGCAAAATTTGGAAAAAACTTTTTTTCCAAAAAAACTCCAACTGGCAACAAATTTGGACTTGGTACCAAAAATGTAAAAAGGAAGGTTGCTTATACAGGGCTTAAGGATCTGGTAGACCCACATCAACATCATCATTGAGCTAAACTTAGTAGTCTTCAAGATAACTGCTTGTTATGTCAAATTTTTTGGGACACCCTATATTTGTGCTGAATATTTAAAAGTTTTTTTTCTTTTTTTTTTTTTTAACATTTTGAAAAATGGACACCTAAAATTTTATCAACTGCCATTCAGAATAAAAATAATTCAAACATGTTTTTTTCTGAGTTAAAAAATTCAAAGCAAGAAATTCAACAACATTTCAAATTGAAAATCTAATGAAACAAATTATCTTCCTTATTTCTCAAACACTCAATCAATATAAATGCAACACAAGTGGCAGCATGCGAATGAGGAGGGAACGCTCTTATATGTCTAAATGTCTAAAAGCTCATCAAAATGTATTTAGCATTATGTCCTCTTTAAGGGTAATGTATTCTTCATTTGTCCTTTCCGTCTGACCCGTCCTGCCGCTGGGAGCACCTGTCATCTGGAGCTGGACTTGGCCTGGACCTGTCTCTCCTTGAGATGGAGGACTGAGTCTGGAGGGGAAACCAGAGTGCCCCGAGAAAACACATACAGACACACAAACACAAACACAAACATGCTGCAAACTCTCAAGTCAAACTCAGAACCTTCTTGTTATAAGGCACGAATGCTGACCACCATGATTTAGATGGAGTAGGATTATTTTAACAACAAAAGCAAACAAAAACTGAATTTAAAGGTGCCATATTATGCACAATTGAGCTATTTGATTCGCTATTACCTCCTAAATAGCCAAAGTTGTGTTTTTTTTTCATTCACACGTTTGAGTCAATTTTGAGCTTTGGAGATGTAGACAAACTGCAGTGATCAAACCCATCCATCCATCCATTTTCTTCCGCTTATCCGGGGCCGGGTCGCAGGGGCAGCAGTCTAAGCAGGGACTCCCAGACTTCCCTCACCCCAGACATTTCCTCCAGCTCCTCTGGGGGGACCCCGAGTCGTTCCCAGGCCAGCCCAGAGACATAGTCCCTCCAACATGTCCTGGGTCTTCCCCGAGGCCTCCTCCCAATGAGACATTCCCAAAACACCTTAAACCCACTGAAGTAAATGTGATCAGCGGAAAAATGAAGACTGCAGACATATGTGCTGTTTGGAATCATCTGGAATTTGGCCTCTTTTCTAATCACAAAACTGAGGTTTAGTTGGAATTGTTGATTATCCGAACGTAACGGAACACTACAATGACATGGAGATGAAGAAAACTGGGATGTTTTCTTATTTTTCCTAAATTTTGTCAGACTTATTTCCGTGAAGAGAACCCACCGGAAGCTGTCATCGCATGTTTCCAAACGTCAGGACTAATCTTGAACTAGGACTTTGGAAGCGCTTTGCAGACAAGGTTTCCGCAAAGCGCAATTGGGCGTCAGCTGCGGTTCGCCTCGTGGAGAGCGGAATTCTGCACCGGTCCTATCACCCGCTGTCACCTGACGGTCTACACAGGCACGTCTCTTGCGTTTCACCGCTGCTGTTATCGCGATGATTTTAGCAAATTTGTATGAAGAAAAACCCACCACTTCAATCCAGGTTAAAAAAAACATTGTGATGCGCGTTACTGACATTTGTACCGAGTAAAATATTACTATTTTTTCCCCTGTAATGCTAAATTACTGCATTACAGCAAAAAGCAATGCATTACAGTAAGTTGTTACTTTTATAACGCGTTACTCCCAACACTGCCTTTCACACAGTAGAGATTGGAAATTCCAGGGTTGAAATTATCCAAATCATTCTAGTGAATGTTCAAAAACACAGTGAAGCACTTCCTCTATTACCACATGACATTGCAAGTTGGAATGGAGTGATTTATGTTTGAGAGAAAAACCCTGAATCTGCAGGGTTTGTGCGTTAAACGTGTGAATGAAACAAAACACAACTCCAGGTGTGTTTGTGATGGGCCCTTTAAGACGGTCAATGTAACTTTACCATGATTTTTTTTTTTTTTTTTTTTTTAGAATTAGAATTTGATTTGAATATTTACTTCTGGGGACAGACGATTGTGAAATTCTTGATCAAATGTGATGTACTAACTCTGTGAAGTGTAAAGTCTGACCTTCTTGTTGAGCTGTCTGTGGATCATGTAGAAGATCTCGGCATAGATCCCCAGCATCAGCAGTAGGGGGGGCAGCACCCAGCCGAAGAAGTTGAAGTACACCATGTAGTCCATGCTGATGACCGTCTCGAACTGGCACGTCACCACGAGGGAGTCGTTTTGTTGGAGCTTGTGGAGGTTATTCCAGCCGAACATGGGGGTCAGTCCCACCACAATGGACACGAGCCAGCTCAGGAACACGGCGATCCCAGCGCGCCGAGCGGTCACCACGCGCTTGTAACTGTGGAGAGGACAGTAAGTATGAATTACACACATATTAAATAAAGACACACTATGGAACTTTTCTGAGAAGAAACGAGAAGCAGACAGGTGTGAAAACATGACACAAATATTAAAGTAAATAAAGTTTGTTTATATAGCATGTTTCACAGACAGAGGTGCTTCACACACAAAACGATAAAAAACAGCACAAGATACACTCAAAATAAAATCAGTCATAGCAGCTCTAAATCTAGATAAGATAAGACAGAATAAGATAATCCTTTATTGACTCCCATGGGCAGTGTTGGTGAGTAATGGATTACATGTACCGGCGTTATGTAATCAGAGTACAAATTATGAGTAACAGTATTCAGTTACAGTTACTGTTTCAGGGAGTGGTGATTGGATTACAGTTACTTTGCTGAAATAAATGGATTACACAGCGGTATTTTCCTGTTTTCACATTTTGTGCTTCATCCCATTTATTTATTTTTTTATTTCGGTAATTCCACTCATTTCTGGAAACCCACACAGAACGCACGCAGTAAGAGCTGTGTAAATGTCTTGTTAACGTTGGTGGCTTCAGTCACACAATGGAGGAGGTCGAAGAGCCAGTAGAACAGAACCAACAGTGCACGTGCAAAAACGCATTTGTGTCTTGGAAATTCTCCCGATGTGAGATGTAAAAGAAAATAACAAATATAAAATCACCTACAAGTTAAATGTGAAACTACTGGCACTGGTGAAAACAACCTGCATAGGCTCATGATATCCATACTACTGTCCTATAGTGACCTGCCACATGGGGGGACGTTCACACAAACACAAACACAGACCTTCATCATCGTCATCAACCTGAGAACAAGCAGACTCCACCGTCTTCCCAGTGCACCGTGTGTGGACTGCGTTGTCTTGCGTACGCTGCATAGACCACGCTTCCTCCTGTGCACCTCTAAACCAGAACTAACACCAAGACTAAAACCAGGACTAAACCAGGACTAAAACCAGGACTAAACCAGGACTAAAACCAGGTCTAAACAAATAATCAATCAAAAGACAGGACAACACAACACAAAGCACCACATAAACAAACACCATAGAACAAAAATAGATACGAGACCAAGTCTGACCACGAGTGATGCACCTACAGGATCTTTAAATTATTCTTTACAGGCAAGCCCTCTGCAGCCTTGTTTTCTGTTAATAATTGCACATCTTTTACATTTATTTTTTAACTGCACTATCAGAGTTTAGCAGATTAACAGCTAATGGTACAAAAGAATGTCTGAATCTGTTCAGTTTAAAGTTTGGGACCTTGAACCTTCTGCCTGACGACATCGAATCAAACTGACTGTGAAGAACATGGGTTGGGTCACTGGGCTCCTTCCTGCCGAGCTTCCAAACAGTCTCCTCGAATATGTGCTGAAGTGAGCTCAGGGCCACACCCATGATTTGACCTTACTTTTAGTCAAAGTAAAAATCTGTGATTTAAGTTTGACTGACAGGTTACTAAACCATGTTGACATGCCGTGATGTAAAATTGATTCCATGCATGTCTTAAAAAATAGAGGGGGGCGGGAAAGGCTTGTTTAAAGAGGAACATTTTTAGTAGCTTTTTAAAAGTATCTACATGATCAGTATGTAGGCAGTACGTTCCAGAGTTTAGGGGAGACAGCTTGAAAGGATCAGTCGAGGGTGACCAGAATTTTAAAATGAAAAACTGGGACATCCCTGTTTTTGTTTTTTTTTTTTTGTTTTTGTTTTGGGTGGTTGGTAACAATAAAACTGTGAAACGAGTGCAGAATTAAGGAACACTGTTAAGCAGAGACCGTTCATGACTAACATGTGAGTCACATTTTCTTGGTGTTTTGGTCATTTTTAAGCAGATTTTCTGTATTTTACTAAAACAAATGCCAATTTGTGTCTCTCTTTACTGTTGGCAGGATCAGATTGGTCAAAAACACCAGGGACATTTCTGGTATAAAACTGGGACAAATCACAGGTTTTGGATAAATCTGTCTCCTGGCACTATGGAGCTTTTCTGAGAGAAGACCTGAAACTTTTTAACGGTGAAGCAGACAGGTATGAAAACATGACACACATATTAAAGACACACTATGGAGCTTTTCTCAGAAAGGACCTGAAATGTTCTCCGTGTAGGTCTTACAGTTGTGTCTAGAATAAACCTGTCACAGTAACACATTTTGAAATGATAATATTGAGGCTACTTTGTGGCACTGACACAAAGCAGGAGAATCACAGTCAACTTATTTTAGGGTTAGGCTCACAAAAATTAATTTTGTGTAATGTAGCACCTCTCTCTAATTTTGCAAAGAAATGGTACACATAATAAATATTGAGTCTCTAAATCTATTGTTCCAATGTTCATGTGCTGAATGAATCAATATAGTGATTTTTGTGACAGAAATACTAAACACCAAATAAACTTTTTCTGCTACTTTTCTGTGTATATGGTGTTTGATAACATCTACTTTTCCTAGACACTAGGAAAATTTGCAGCTTTGTGTTGAAAAATGTCTAAAACTGAGTGTTTGTTCACTTGATCACCTGATGACAGACACGTTTCTGATACAAACACCTGGCTGCAGGGGCGGAGTTCACAATCACTGTGAATTCAATCACAATAATCCTCATACCCCCACCCCACACCCCACTCTCCCCTTTAGTCCTCCAGACTCCTCCCCCCTTGTTCTCCCCTTTAGTCCTCCAGACTCCCCCTCGTTCTCCCCTCCAGTCTCCCTTTAGTCTCCAGACCTCCCCCCTTGTTCTCCCCTTTAGTCCTCCAGACTCCTCCCCTCATTCTCTCCTTTAGTCCTCCAGGCTCCTCCCCCTTGTTCTCCCCTTTAGTCCTCCAGACTCCTCCCCCTTTAGTCCTCCAGACTCCGCCTCTCCTTTGAAATGTGTGGGTGGAGTTTATGTGTTTCGTCCCACTTTAAAGAAGCATTGTGGAGTTTTTCTGATGCAGGGCCTGAAGCTGTTACTCAAATTCATTTCTCTCCAACAACTAGGTCAGGAATCAGAATACAATAGATGATTCGTAAAAACTCCAGAAGTGCCAGTTCAGGCACCAGCCAATCAGCGAAGAGCCATACATTCAATGCTGTCAACGATTCCCGAGATTGAGGATTTAAGGCCGGAACTGAGAATGTTTGGTGAATTTTATCAAGGGGAAAGACGTTATTGCCCTTCTTCTTACGGGATTTGAGAAAAAGCTTAATATACCAGTTAGCCCCGTTAGCGGTGCATTACATACACCACGACCAAATATCAGCGATTGGTTAAATGATTAAAAAGTACCCGCCTACTGTCGAGTGAATTAATTCTAACACTGCGAGGTCAGACGGTTTCCACGAAGTGAAACTGGCTGATGAATTAGGCTATAAATCTGTATGTGCCTCATTAAAAACAAGCAAGTGTTTCTACCATTCCAAGTTACAGCTCAGATCTGTGGGGTGGCACTACAGCAGGGGTGTCAAACTCATTTTGGTCCAGGGGCCGTATCCAACCTACTTTTATCCCAAAGGGGCCGGATCAGAAAACTCAAAAAGCAATAAGTTCAAATATTTGTGCAGACACTACAGGTTTTTCAAGGATTTAAAGAAAAACAAAAAAACACCTATAATCGAATAAAGGCAAAATAGCTTCATGCCTGAACTGTGGAACCTTCCAGACAAATCAATAACATCTCCATGGAGACCAGCTGGGGACAGATCCTCCACCAGAAAAGTTACATAGTGCACCTTTACAGAATTCACATGAAGAGGTAGATCCTTATTTTCCGTTGTGTTCATTGTAAAGTGCAGAGTGTAACATTCAGACTGAGAGACTTGGTTCCGTCCTGATTCTCGGGGCCTCGTCTCACACACTGAGCAGCAGGTTTGGACAGCAGGCCTTTGTTAAAGCCCGTGTGTTTTACAAAGAGCCACAGTGACGGGGCCCTGGGCTGATAACATGAACTGAAACATGCTCATTGTTTCTTCAGCCAGGATTCATGCTCGGGGTATTTTTATCTTTTTTTTTTTTTTTTTTTATTTCTTTGGCAGGGAGAATGTAATCAGACAGTTACAAAACAGAGTGGAGATCGGCTGACTAGATACCAGCGGACACAACCAGGGCTATGGACCTAAACGGTGCTCGCCAGAAGAACATTTCTCATTCATTGTTCTCATAACATTTTGGGGGAGAAAAATAAAGTTTGAAAGCTCACAGCTGATCAGCGAAGTGTTAACTAATGACCACAGTAATGATCATTTTATCTCAAATCTGTTTCTGAAACTTTACACACCACTAAGTTATGAAAACATTTCACAGAATCTTTTGTTTTAAATTGGACTTAAAGCAACCGTTATCTATCTTTGTACTCTTAACTCTGGATGCACAAATACGATACTTCCAATAGGCGAGTTTCATTGTTGACAAAAGCGCGCGTTGCATGCTGGGAATTATTTTGATCGGCGGCAAGAAACACTAATTCAACATGACGGACGGAGCGAGAAAGCACGTAAAGGGTATTGATCCCGGTTATTTATCCACTGTAACGGCAGAGGACCCAAGACGATTTGACCAGAAATTGGTCATAAGCATCGACAGACACCAAGTCACCCTCTTCAACCCCTACAAAAGGTGGACCAAACCAAATTTCTGGTCGGAATCGCCAACTACCTGGCCAAATATTCACTTCAGCGATATCCACAATGACTTGGTGGAAACTCCTGGGCCATTCACAGCAGAAAAGATGAAAGCCTCCAAGAGTCTCGATGTGTTGTTGAACTTGTTGGAGTCCACGGTTTGCTTGGATCTTCTACGTTTGCTCTGCGGATGTTTGAAAGCCGTTTAATTCGCCGTTGGCGGTTCTTTTCACTCAGAATACGAAAAAGACATTTTCCTTCTTCCGTGCTTCTATTTTGTGCATCCGATTTCCCAGCATGCACGCAGCTGAATTTACCATTGCATCACGCACCGTTACACACGTTCAGGAGGCCATTTGTTGTTCTACTG